AAGCGTGAGATACACATAGTTAGGAGGGTGTATAGTGTAAGGAGAGTCTTGCTGCAGCCTCCGCATCCGTCTCGTTCCCCCTCTATCTTTATCTCTCTCGTCTCGCCGCCTCGTCTTTGACTTGTCAGCTTTTATGGTTTACTTTTTAGTTAGTTAGCAAAAAATATCTACACAACTTTTTCTTAGCATCTCCGTCTCTCTCGCTCTCACCCTGCGCATCGCTCGCTCTCGCTCTTGCTGCGGCTGCGGCAGCCACTGTCTAGGTATTCTTTATGATGGAATTTTTAATGAATTTACTTTTAGTTTGGTGTCACACAGCATCTGCATACATGGAATATAGCATGAATGCCTCGGCATCATAAGCACTGACAGCTTACATATTTCCTTAGAAAATATATATGTGTGTCTATGTATATGTATATTAAAAACGTGCGCAAAATGAAAGGTGTAAATTTGTTTATAAAAGTCAACTTCTGCCTCACTAGCCACGTCTAGGCAGTCAGTCAGCCAGTTCGCCTTTGGTATTCCTCTCCAGACTTGCCGTAGATTCACAAGATAGGACATGACGTAGCATCTATTGTCATGTGTGTTGTCTGTGTGTGTGTGTGTGTGTGTGCACGTGTCTGTGCCGTGTCTTCGCAAAGTGCAAACTCACGGACGGAGGAGGCGTGGCACAGAGCATATTTGCAAATTGAATGCGACAAGTCAAGTGCTGTGAATTTAATTTCCATTCACATAAAATTTGATTAAAATGAAACAATGAAATAAATATTACATCTGAGTGCTGAAAGCCAGCCTTGGTAAAATCAATTTCTTATTTTACTTTTAAGATCTATGGAAATATATTTCAATTGTATTAAGCTTGGCCATGCAAAGCGTCTAATTGAATGAGACATCTAGCTGAGTGCACAAAAAAAAAAAAAAAAAAAAAAAAAAAAAAAAAATTATTGTGGTGCAGTTTCTAGCTTCAGCTATTTCCACAGAAATCTTTCTATCAGTTGAGGTTAGTTAGTTTGTGTAGAATATATTCGAGTAGAACGGTTCTTGGAGATTTTTGTTAAGCATTTTTGTCAAACAATTATCATAAAAAAAATAATAATAAAAAAATATTTTCAAAAATAAATTTTTTTAGTACAATAAAACTACATAGTTGTAAATAATATTTATTTTATATATGTTAAAAATAATATTATTAATTTATGTTATAAATAAAATTGAAAAAATAATAATGTAAATCGATTTTCAAAAATCGCGAATTTATGTTATTTTAAATATATATAAAAAAAATTTCAATTTTAGACTTTTGTTACTTAGAAGCTCAGCAGCTCAATCGAGTCAATTAAATAAATTTTAAGTCGAAAGAGAAAATTTTGTGTATTGATTAGCTTTAATTAGCTCTTCAAATTTTAATTGACTTTCCATTGGTTCCAGCAAATGCAATTTGCCATCTAAAGGCACCTTTTCCCTGCCAACTCCACCTTTGCCCTTATCGCGTGGACATAAATCTGAGCGGTGCAATCTACGCTAAGCCGGTTGCTGTTCAACTTATGTTTAAGTTGAAAATTAGTCGAAAGCTAATTAACGATAAGCGTTTGGCTGTTGCCCGAAGCTGGAGCCAAGGCAACCCAAGTTAGCAGCAGTCGAAAAGTTTTAATGCATTTATCGAATGACTCGGGTAGCAGCAGCTAAGTGCATATTATCGGGCATCTATTTCAATTTCCTGCAGCAATTACAAGCCTCTGTACAGGCCCCCGCCGCGCCTGCCATGCATTGCCGAATGTAGGTACTCCCCTCGGACCAGGTCGAAACCAGTTGCTGCTTTTACGTAGATACTTTTACATGGTCTGTGGCCCGCACGTAGCGCCCACGCGGTTCGACCTTTAGCCTGGCGCAGTTCAAAGGCGAATGCTGCCAAATTGACTTTCTGTGCGCTCACTTCGTGCGCGAGAGTGCAGGGAAATTTTACTCAATTCGACTCTCATCGCGTGCGCACACGCGCTCAGCCAAACCGGTTTTCGAGTGGGACTCAAGCAATTGAGTTCGACTCGAGTATGAGCATGGGAAGAGAGGGAGAGAGAGAGAGAGAGTGTGTGCGTGTGTGTGTGGGAGAGAGGGGACTGCCAGCTGAGCAATGCATTTGTTCCACTTTCTGAGCACGTTTTTTCGGCCAACATATCGCGGCGAGGAACCTTTGTGCATTGAGCTCTGCTGTCCGGCTTTTGGTCAGCATTTGGGTTGCAGCTGAAATGAGGCGTGCCCAGGACACTCACATTCACGTTCCTGTCCCAGGAAGTACTCTGGCATCCCAAGGGACACATAATGGCCGAGATTTCAGCACTAGCTCCTTTTTCTATTTCATATATACACTAGTTTCTGGGGCATTTAAAGTATATGTGTGTCTTGTTTTTCAATTGGACACTCTTAGAGAATTTTGCAGAGCTCATTAGTAATTTATATACAATTCTTTTATATGCCATCTGCAATATAAACCACTTTACAAGCAAGCTAATAATTTATTTAAGCTAACATTTGATATTACAATTTCTGTTGAGTATATATAAAAGTTCTTTTGTAGATTTATTTAAGCTGCTCAGATGTGTTTCCACTCTAAGCAAAACTATAAAAGCGAACCAACAGCTGCCAGGTTTATAAACCAGAATCGTGTTTTCCTGCTTGGCTTTTGGCCATAAATCCAGGACGAAGCGTTGGCTTATCGAATACTCTGTCCGCCCCGTTGCTCATTATAAGCAAACGCAGAAGTTTTCGTTGCTGCAATTTGGTTTTTGCTAGAAAACCGTTGAAAACTTGAAAACTTGATAACTTTAAGCGCCTCGAAATGCGTCACGAACGTGACCGGAGCGAAGTTTTCTTTAAGCAAAAAACCCAAAGAGAACTAAGGCGAACGTCTTTTGTCTTTGCTGGCCAAAAAGGCAAACGATTCAAACTGGGTCAGCAATGAGGACGTTGAACATTTAAAAAGAAGAAGAAGATGAAGCAGAAAACATGCGGCAAAAATTGCAAAACGCTTCTTTAAGGCAAAGCAAGGCAAGGACTTGAGGAGTTGAGGCATCTCAGCTCAGCTGCGAGCTCAACTCCGAGTGAGCCATAAAGTTGAGCGTGAAAATATCCCCGCGCCACTGAGAGCGAGCGAGTGAGAGGGCAGCCGGCTGTCGCTCTCTGCGTGTGCATTCCACTCGTTGCGTGCTGGGCACAAAATTTACCTTCCGCTCGCAGCACGAGAGGCAATTCAGTCAACCACGAGCCGCTCCAGCGAACGGACGCAGTGCGCGGGCCAAATCGCAGACGAGAATAAATACAATATTCGTATTCGGGAGTTCGACCAATGACTATTTATAGACTCCGTTTTGTTTACGTGTCGTGACGCGTGTGCCAACAACATTCACTACATCGACAGCAGCAGCAGCAGCAACAATAGCGAATCAGTAGTGTTAAGAGTGGCAAACAGTTAAAAACAAAAAAAGAAATACAAAGCCAAATAGAAAATCAAGAAAGTCTCAGCCATGGCAGCAGACATGTCCCTAGCCAGCACCACGGATTACCCGCTGCCAGAGACAACAACGATGCCCAGCAGCGGGGAGCTCTATGCGGAGTTCATCTCGGCACCGGCCAGCAGCATGAGTCCCGCTGCCATCGCCGAGCACATGCAGCAGAATCAAATCACATTCGAGATACCCACAGCGCACGATCTGCGGCACATCGATGCGCTGCACTCGTTCAACACGCTGCTGCAGCGGATTGGCAATGCGGCCGGCAGCTTCGACTCCGCGCCCCCGGCCAGCATCAGCACCGAGCAGCTGTCCAAATCGGTGGTGCTCGATCTGGCCGATCTGCGGGAGCACAATGCCGATGCCGATGCCAATTCCACCTGGGAGCAGATCTTCGGCGATGCCGACATGCACGCCATTGTCAACTATCTGTGGATTGGCGTTGTCACCTCGCTGGTGGTGCTCTCCCTGGTGTTCATCATGTTCAGCTGTTACTTCTATCGCAAGTTCAGGACCTGGAAGAAATGCAGTAAGTACTCATTGAGCAGCCCCTCGATCTGCCACCTAACCCCCTTCCCGCTTCCGTGTTCATGTGCTGACTTTGTGACTCTAATCAAAGTGTGGGGCTACGACCTTATCAACGGCCATTTATCCAGCTGTTTTGGCTGCCAGGCTAAACAATATAAAATGCAGAAAAGCAACAACCACGCGCTCACACGCCCACGCGCCCTTTACGCCCCTCGGTTATGGCCGTAAGTCTCATAAATTTTGGCGCGCCTCGAAATTGTCAGCCGCTTCGCATTCCCATGGCTTTGGCCGTTGTAATTTTAGATACACAAGTTTATGATGCCACAAAATATATGCGCTGCATATTTATAATATTCAACTGACCCAGCTGCCCCGCCCATCCGTGCGCCCCACTTTACGAGCGTGATAATGTGGGGGAAGCTGTGCGAAATTTGTTTCACTTTCATAGAAAGAGAGAGACCGACAGAATACCGTTAAATTGTCTGTGGCAGCAGAAAAGTGGACAAAAAAAATTCAACCGAGCTGAGTGATATATGAGCATTATTATAATGGGGTAATTCAGCCTTATCGCAGTTGCAGCAGCAACAGCAGCCCATGAAATAAAAACATAGATATATATTAGCTGATAAGCTGGCGCGTCATATGGCCAAAAGTTCATAAACGCTGGCTTAAACAACGGCTTGAACTAAATCCAGTTACTGGCCAGAAACCTGTTGCTCGTTCGGGCTGGCTTGGGCCAAGAGCTTGCAAACAAATAGCGCAAAGTAAATCATATGCTTAGGCACTTTACACATAATTAGAAGCAAACGAGCTGTGCACACACACACACACACACACACAGAGGCAAGCTAAACCTGGAGAGTACGAAAACTAAACAAGTCTCAACTCGAGTGTCAAACTTTTTGCAGACCAATTTAGCCAAATGATTTATTTAGGCCAACAAAGAGAGTAGAGCAACAGTGAGACAGAGAGAGTGAGAGGGAGACAGAGATCGAGCGTGTGTTGTACAAGCTGTGGGGCGGGCCAAAGGCCGTGGCATTAAAGTATGGCCAACTCAACTGTCAAACTGTCAATTTCGTGCTAACGAGCCTTAAAAACTTTCCGCCCCAAAACAATGTTGGCCCGGGAGCAAAGCAGAGCAGAGCAGAGGCTAGCGGGACTTTAGTTAGTGGTAGCGGCCGTTTCGGGCCGGGCCACTACGTAAAATATCAATTTGAGCTTTGAGCGATATGTGAGCTATCCGCTTTTTTAGTTTTTTTTTGGGCGCCTGTGCGTCTAATTAGTTTCGTTAGTGTCGTGTTTGGTTTTACTTGTTCGCTCTGTATTACGTGCTACGTGTTAGACTGGCCTACATAGATAGCACACACACAGACACATACATATGTATGTCTATTTTTATGTAGAGTGTGTCTAGCTGTGGTTGCTGCAGCTCTCTGCGCTGGCTCTGCCACACGTGTGTCATTTATAATTAAGCAACTTTGGCTTAAGTTTGCTCGATTTTCGTAGCACGCTTTTCTGCGTTTAATGCTTGTTACGTGTGCCCCGCCCCCTCGCTCGCACCGACCTACCTGTCTGCCCAACCTGGCTGGCTGTGCCTGCCTTATAAATACTTAACGAGCCGTAGATGCCAGGCAGCCTCTGCCTTGGTCTTACAGTTTATTTATTAAGCAAGGCTATACACACTCACACACACACACACACACACGTTGTTTCGACGTGTAGCAAGTTTTTGGCTTGTTATCAATTAGAGCCGCACACAACTGAATTTATTAACAGGACAACAGCCAGCGGCGTCAGGCACTTGTGAATTAAAGCGAAACAGGACGAAGCAGGAGCTGCTGCCACTGTTTATTATGTTGTATAGGTTGTGCATAATTTACATCCGTTAAAAATGTAATTAAGCGTAGCACAAAAATTTGCCCAAAGGAAACCAAAAATAAAAAGGGCAAAACTAACGGCCACAACTTTCCCTCAGCTCTGCGAGTCTTTTCAATTTTTAATGGCTTCTGTGGCAGGACGCAGAACTAGCTCCAGCTAGCTGCACCTACAACCAGCTCATGTTGTCTATATTTTAGCTACCGTGTGTGGCTGGCTTTTTGGCTTTCAGTTAGCTCAGCGCAAATGGCGAATTGTAATTAACCAAATTGTTTTGTTGCTCGAGAGCATTTAGTGTGCGCAGCTTATTGAATTCAGCCATATTCAGTTTGTGCGGAACTCGCCAAAAAATGGCAGCGGTGCGAGCACTGCAAAATTGAATTTCAGCTGCTCCACTCAACAATCAGTTTTCATTGATATCAGCTGCGAAAGCGATTAAATGTAATAAAAGCTGCCCTCGAACCGCTGAGCGTGTTAAAAAATTAACAAGCATTTATGAAATGCAATATATAAATAATCATGCGTATATACACACACATTCACATTCACATGTGTAGTAAATAAAAAACTCAAAAGCGAATCGAGCTCAATTGTTGGACTCTTCAGCATTCGTCAGCTCATTGCAATGAATTTAAATTGTTGCATACATTGGGGCGCATCAGCCGAAATGAAAAACATGCCACAAATGTAACAAAAGCCAAAAACAAATGGCGTGCTAATTTTTTTCCCAACTACTGCTGCAGCTGCCAGTTCTGCTTCTTCCATACATTTCAGTTTTTTTTTTTTTTAGCTGTGGACTGCCCCAACACTTGCATAAAATATGAATCCCATGGCATGTGAGTGTGTGTGTGTGTGCCACGCCCACTGCGGACTACTCTGTGTTTGCCGTCTGTCTATCAAAAAATAAAACAAAAGTCAAATGGCTCTCTGCGAGAGTCCTCGGCACCCAAAAAATATACGAGCTTGCACTACAGTTATAACAATAAATCAACAACCGCTGCCAGCAGCACAGTGACTGCTGCCAGTATGAGTGTGAGTGTGAGTGCGGGGCTCCGACTGTGTGACTGCTGCCAGGCTGGGGGCTTTAATATTGTAATGCGCCAATTTTTGCTGTGCCACGCCTCCTCGTCTGCTGCGTACCTCCGCCCTACCCCAACCCACTTTAAAAAAGAGGAGGCACACTTGCTTTAATGGAATCCATGTGGCCAAAATATTTCTGAGCACACAACAAACAGAAAAGCGAATTGAACGCGGCACAAAAAAAGTTAAATTAATTTCAATTGAAATTTATAAAAAAAGAATTAAATAAAAATAGGCTTGAAATATAAATAATAATTGCTTGCACTGACAATGCGAAAAAATGCCGTATTCAGCTGCTGCCTGCAGGAGGTGGCTTTCATTTAATAAATGCAGCTTAAATTGCATTTAATAACCGCAACAATTTGTGGCAAGGGCAAACAATAAAAGCCACCTTCAAATCGGAAAAAAGAAGCTTACAATTATATAGTGGATGTATCTGGATGAGCTCCTCTGCTGGGCGATGTTCATACACAAATAATCTCTCGCTCGTTGGGGTTTGCATTAAAGCGACTTTTCTTTTCAGGAGTGAACACTGATGAATGCAAACAATTTCACATTTCGCGCTGCATACTTTACGGGCGGAGCTTTTCTCCACATTGCTGCATCTTCTTTAATATTTATTTCGCTCTTTTTCCGTAATTCGTATTTTCGTTTCATTTGTGCCACGCGCGTACTTCCGGCCAGCTTATTGTCAGTCAGTCGGAGGGACGGACGGACAGACAGTCGGCCGGACAGTTGGTTGTTGTGCATGAGAAACTTTTGCCTGTCCGGCCAAACTCGCAGGCATTTCCGGTCGGTACAAAAGTTTTTTTTTTTCTCCTTCCCTCTCTCTCTCTCTCTCTCTCTCTCTCTCTCTTTCTCTCTCTTTCTCTCTCAAACACTGTTACTGTCTCTCTCACTTTTCTGTCCGGGCTTATGCTGTTTTCTGTTTTTCGTTTTTTGTTTTCGCATTTTTTGTATCTTTTCAATAAAAACTGGAGAGGATCTGGCTCATGTCCTGCCATTCACAAAGTTCAAGCGTTTGCGCCTTTACGCTAAATTGAATTTAATGGCAAACTCCTCTCCCTCCACCTACGACCCCTCTAAGCTCATCCAACAAGTGTCCCGTCGGTGTGCGAGTGTGTGTGTGTGTGTGTGTGTGTGTGTGTGTGTGTGTGTGTGTGTGTGTGTGTGTG